CACCCAGGTTTTCTTCTACATGTCTTCCCAGCCTGAATCTGATGTCTCCAGAGGGTGTGAGGAGTGCCTAGAAACAGTCTACCTACGGTTAACCAAGAAGATAGGCAGACTTTCGAGACGGGGGTGGAATGCAACTCTCACGACTTCCTGGCCACCAATGATCCTCTACCTCAACAAAGCTTTGGTTCTGTGTCCCATGCATGTGATCCCCACACATAAGCTGACACCCTCAATTCCACACCAGTGAGCCTCCCTGTCCATCTCCCAAAGCCATGGGCCAGCAGCCTCCATCCTTCTCCAGCCCTGGCATCCACATCCTGCTCCCCACTGCTGGGAGTCTTCGGACTTCAGATATGTTGTAGGAGTGAGAACAGTCACGTTGTCTGCGGTAGCAGCTCTTCTCACTGAGGGTCTTTGGGGGGTGGGGGCAGGGGGCAGCCACATGTCTGAGGCGCCAGCTTTCCTCCTTGTTAAAAGCTGGATGACATTCCTCTGGGTACCTAGACATGTGCCCCCCATCCATCCAGTCACAGACAGACACAAGTCCCTCCCACACCCCGCCCGGCCTTGCGGGCTGCCTCGGCAAACAAGGAGTGATACCTCCTGAGATCCTAATCTTGATGCTTTTGGATGTGTGCCCAGAAGGGCGATTACTAAATCATATGGCAATGCTATTTTTAATTTTCTGAGGAACCTCCATACTGTTTTCTCTACTGGCGGCGCCATGTCACACTTCACCCACTGGGCAGGAGCATTCCCCTCCCCCGTGCCCCCCTCCCCCGCATTTCCCTCCCACCACACCCTCTTCCGCCAGTCTTTCTTTCTGACAGTCTGTCCTGATAAGTGAGAATTGACAGCTCACGGTGGCAGCGCTGATGGCCCTGCCTGGGTTTCCGGTGATGGAGGCACCTGTTTGTGTACCTGCTAGCCAGGTCTCTGTCCACTCTGGAGAATGCCACCCCGGCCCGCCCTGCCCTTTTGTTGGGGGTTGATCTGTCTGCTGATGAGTTGAGTATTTTCTTTTTTCGTTTGGCTGTATCTCTCTACCAGAGAGGCAGTTGCCAGCGCCTTCCCCTGGCTGGGGAGAGCGGCCTTTTTGGTTTGTTTGGTTGGTTGGATGGTTTTTTCCGAGACAGGGTTTTTCTGTGTAGCTTTGGTGCCTACCCTGGATCTCGCACTGTAGACCAGGCTGGCCTCGAACTCACAGAGCTCCGCCTGGCTCTGCCTCCCGAATGCTGGGTTTAAAGGCGTGTGCCATCGCCGCCCGGCGCCTTTTTGTTTTGCAGTTTCCTGTGCTTTCCTGGGTTTTCTCCTTGGACACCGCCTCCCCATCCATCTCCACTCTTTTCACCTGGGCTTCGGGTGTCACATCCAGGGAGACCAATGTCAAGCCACCTGCACCCCCCCACCCCACCCCCAAACCCAGGTTTTCTTCTACATGTCTTCCCAGCCTGAAGCTGATGTCTCCAGAGGGTGTGAGGAGTTTCACTGTGTTGCTGAAAAGAGAAGTGCAGGTGTGTGCCCGCGCCCTCCATCAACATCAACAACACAGCTACCTCCTCCATCTCCCACTATTCCCAACACACTTCGAGGAGCTGCAGCCCTAAAACTCAGAGATGCCCGGACTGGGGCATCCAGGAAGAGATAAAGTATATACTGTGTTTCCTTAGGAAGGGGGCAAATTCCAGCGCCCCCCCTCCATGTTGCAGGAGGGGGAAAAAACCTACATTGTTGGAACACTGAGGGCTGGGGAAAGGTGTAGAGGAGGGGCCTGGGAGCAGCCAGGGTCTGCCCTATGTGAATCAGGTCCCTCTGCTAGGGGAGCCAGTATGGAAGGGTTTGGGAGTGGGGTCCAAGACAAAACCACCCCAAGTCCATCCGGAGGCAGTAAGACGCTGGACTCCCAGTCCATAATGCCCCACTGCTGTTGGGCTGGAGGAGGGTGCTATAGGGAAGCCGCTCACTCCAGCGGATCCAGGGCTGCGGGCAGATACAGTGGAGTCCCAGCCTTCACATCCCCTCCTCACACTCCCCCTACCAGAGCCCTCGGACCACAGTCCTGTCTGTGACCACAGCGCGCCACCTACTGGCTACGTGTGGAAGCCGGGAAGCCCAGCAGGTGAGACACTGAGGCAGGATGAGGAGGCTAATACCCAGGAAAGAGGGCACCAGATGGCCGTGAGGCCTCATCCCCACGATGGACGTATTTAGTGTCCTGAATTTGCACCCTGCTTCTGCCGCTGACAGCTGTGTGGCCTTAACCAATCTATGGCCCTTTCTGACTTTCAGACCAGACCAGGACAGTGGACACATCTGACCTTTGGGTAACAAGAGGAAGAAACGGCTCCTCCTGGACAGCGAGCCTATGTCTGGCGGAAGCTGGTAGTGCTCACAGGCAGACCAACACAAGCATGGCACAACCAGGACCCTGGCTGAATTCAGGTTCTCATGCACACCATGGATGCTGGTGACTTAACGCAAAGCCGCCAGTACATAGTTTCCCACCCACACGGATGTGGTGTGCAGTCATGATCCTAGCAGCACAGAGGACAGTGACATGGCCACAAAACCGGGAAGGGGTCGTGTGGGGACTTGAGATAATCTGTTTTTCTGTGCCTTTATTTAGCAACCAACACAAAATTCCTAAAAGAAAAAAAAATCCCCCACAAAGTCTGTTTGGCTGGATCCCGCGCACCCGTGGTCAAGGGTCCCACACAAAAACTTTATCAGGGCCCTTGGAGCCACCACACGCTTGTAGAAGCCACAGAGGCGGCTGTGCTGTGACCGCCCTTGTGAATGGGTAGGTGTGAGCCTCCTTACCATGTGAAGGGGTTTCGGGACCTCCAGCAAACATTGGGTCCCAACTCTGCTGCTGAGACAGAGCACATGGCCTGGGGGCTCATGACCATCAGAAAGTCTGCACCAAGCACCACCCCCCTTTGCATCTCACACTTTGGGGGGGCGGTCAGGGTGAGTCCCAGGAACCCCCAAAGCAGAGCACTGTCACACTCAGCACCATCAGCCATCTCTGGCAGACTGTCATTGGACTGAGGTGGTGGCTACAGTTTGGCACCTAGCCTGCCCAGGCACTGTGCTGGAGTACTCTGTCCTGTCATTGAGCCTCAAAGCATCCCAGGAGCTGGGTAGATGTGCTCCCATTTCACAGGTGGAGAGACTGAATCACGGAGAAGTTGGGCCTCGGGGTCACTGAGCCTCAGGGTCAGTAAAAGGTAGGCTGAGGCAGTTTGCCCCGCCCTTTACTTGGAACCTCAGGCTGGCCTCACTCCAAGAGCCGTGAGGGACGGTGGGTGGGGGTGGGGGCAGAGTCTGTGCAGTAGCACCCAGATGGGAGAGTACAGTACCTCTTGTGCTCAGCTGGAGCCCTCAAGAGCGGTCACAGACCCAGCCTAGGCCCTGCTATCGCCACAGCGTCCTGGACTCATATAACAGATGATCCGCCCCTCCACAAGTCACAGAGAATGTCTGAGGCCTGAGGACCAAGAGACGGACATGAGGCCTCACTGGGGACACACATCCTCAGCACGTATGTTGACCCAAGCACACGTCCCCAACCTGCCATCCTCAGACGGTGCTGGCTCCACATCACTGTCTCTGGAAGGATGCTGTAGACACTGGAGCCATTGTGACCTCAGGGTGAGGTCAGGGCACCAGAGAAGGGCCAGTGCCCAGGACAGAGCTAGCCCGTCGGTGAGGATAGGGCTGGCCATTGGGACCTGTGGGTCTCCTGCTCTGAGCCTCAACATGGATGGGCAGCAGTCTAACAGGTCACACAGCCGCAGCTCAACTGATGGGACCTCCTCAGCCATGTCCCACAACCCCAGGTCAGTTCAGCCCCGGAGGACGTGGGGGAGCCAGGGCCACCCAGCCTTCAGGCACCTGGCTTTTTCACCTTCCAGGGGAGCCACACACCACCCCAGAGAGTGCGTCCTAGGCGGGCGGTGCCAGCACAGTGTCTAGAGGTCTCACCTCCAAGAGCAGCCTGGGAAGGACTTGGGGTGGGTCCATCCCATGACTCTGCTGCCCTCAGTATGATGAGGAGAGTGGTGATCCGGACCACAAGCTCTACCCTTACCGTGGGAGGAGAGGGCAGCAACTGTTCAGAAGGACCCGCGATGAATATGGACAAGGGTCCCAGCACAGTGTAAGCCAGTGAATGGACAGCTGGACGGACAGGGACAGGCTGCTGCCTACTTCTGGGTCAGCTTCTTCAGGGCAGAGCAGGAGGAACACAGCGGCTTGTGTTCTGACAGACCTGACTATGAGGAGAGGAAGGAGAGACTACTGTTCACTCATTACACGCAACACATACATGTGCACACACATACACACAATATTCTTAAACATGTACACACAAATATGTATGCTCATGTATGTATATATATACACACACATACATAGGCATACATATATATATACACATACACACAAACATGTATGCTCATGTATATATATATACACACATATACACAAGCATATATATACATACACACATATATACACATATACACATATACACATACATACAAACACAGGTATACACATATATACATATGCACATGTATATATACACATACGCACACAGCTATACACAGGTACACATAAGTATACACACACATATCTGCACACACATGTATGTACACACAGGTACATATGTACACAGATGAGGCACCTACAGGGTGGCCTTGCCCACAGGCCACAGCCTTGGTCTAGCCTTCCAGGTCTGCTTTTTGAGCTGACTCCTTCCTCTGCACCAAGGACTGGACATCTCCCACCAGACTGGTCTGCCACAGTTTCGGAGCAGAAATTCACAGTGTGATGGCTTCTGATGAGAGCCTGTTCCTGGCTCACTGAGAGCCACCCTCCAGCTCCGTACTCACAGTGGGGAAAGAGACAGGCCTCCTGTGAAGTCCCTAACCCTATGCTTGGGCCCCATCCTCGGGACCCAGCTTCACCCCGATCATTCGGACGGTCCAACCTCCAAAGATGCATGGTGGTACAGTAAGGCTTCCTTCCACCTGAGCCCTGGAGCAGGGCCAGAAGTCAGTCCCTAGCAGGGCTGCAACATGCTCCACAGCCAGGGCCACCCCTCTCCTCTGTCCAACCTTATAATAGTTCCTCCCCCAGCTTGATCTCAGGACCATGGAGGCAGTCTCTCCCAAGAGCACCCTGCTGGGTCCATAGGGAAAAAAACGGAAGGCGCACGAGCCCCGAGTTGTTCACTGGATGCCCTCAGGCATGCGCGTTACCTGAGCGAAGATTCCGAAGGCAGTTACAGGGTTCTCTAGGCAAAGATCCAGAGGGGCTGGGTTGCCCTGGAGATGAGAATTGGTAGAGTCCTGTCGGTTAGGCTACCTTAAAAGCTGAAAAGTGGTGGAAGAAATCAGGGAGACAAGATGCAGAGGGAGGGTCAAGCTGAAGTTTCAGACAAATTCATCAAGATGATAACTAAGTGAGACTTGAAAGAAGTGAGCAGCTGGGAGCTGGAGAGATGGCTGAGCCGTTAAAGAGTGTCCACTGCCCTGCCAAGGACCCGAGTCTGGTTCCCAAGCACCCATATCAGCGGACTCACATCCTGTAACTCCACCTCCAGGCCATCTGATACCTTCTTCTGGCCTCTGCAGGAACATGTACACATACATACATATTAATTAACTTAAATAAATAAAAAAAGAAGAAGTCATGAACTAGGATAGCAATGATGTGGATTGTTATCTGGATAGCAATCCAGATAGAAGGGAGCAGCCAGTGCCAATGTCCTGAGGTTGCAGCTTGCCTGGTGGTTTAGAGAGAGCCTGAGCTCACTGGACTGGGGTGGAGTGAACAGGAGGCAGGAGGAAATGAGACCCGGCAGGGTGGCCTCCTTTCTACTGTCTGGGTTTCATTTGTGTTTGTTTTTTGTTTTGTTTTGTTTTGTTTTGTTTTTTCCTTTTCCTGTACAATCTTACTTACACATGGTGGAATTCACTGGTTTGAGTGTGTCCTAGACCACAAAGGAGACAAGAAGCAGCTCTGTCCCCAAACACATCCCACACAGCCTGGCCGTGAGTCCAGCCACACTCAGCCCAGGAGCCACCGACCAATGTTACCTTTTCCATTATGTCAGAAAAAAATAACATCAAGTGTAGCCTTGGGGGCCTGCCTTCCTCTACATCATACTGTGTTTCTGATGTCCGTGGCATTATCGATTGGTTTCCCCTGGATTTCTGGGGAGTGCTACGCTTGTTTAGAAAGTGCATCTGTATGCTTTGAATTTTTAGCTGTGCTAAGTCAGAGCACTATTACACATTGGTGCTGGGATTAGTATGTGACTATAACTCACTCGAGTGAACGCACAGGGCTGGGGGTGGGAGCTGAGTCACACGCCCACTGCGTGTTCGACTTACCCAACTTTTTTGCCCTCAAGTGCGGGGGTGTAACAGCTCCACCCCAGCTCTGCAGAGACTTCCCACTTCCGCTGTCCCACGGCTTTTGCTGTATTAAGTTTTCCTGATTTTATTATTTTAGGCATGCACGCACAATGCTCCCCCTGCTGTGGCTTTGGTTTTTTTCTGTCCTTCAGGAAGGACAGTATGGCCCTGTTCATCCGCGGCTCCGCCATCTGTTTCTCTCCACAGGTGGCTGTCCCATCAACTCTTTTGCCTGTGTTCTGTTCAGTTGTCTGTGTTTGGGTTCGGCTCAGTGTTCTTGGTCTATTTAGGGATTCATCCCTCTGTTACCTGTGTGATCTGCAAGGATTGCTTCCAAGGGCCTGCCGCTCTCCTTTCCTTCTGGACACCCTTCGAAAGTTCTGTTTCTACTAAATCAAGTGTATATATTTGTGGGTAATACTTTTGTTGGCGCATCTGAGAAGTCTTCGTTACTCAAGGTCATGAAGATTTTCTCCTGTTTTCTTCTAGAACTTTCAAGAGTTCAGCCTTCCTTTTGACTCCGTGCTGTTTTGAGTTATTTTTTGCATGTGTTTGAAATATAGATGGGAATTGCTGTGAGCATGTGTTGAACTGTTTCAGTGTGACATGCTGGTGAATCCAGCCTGCCTTTCCTATTGGAATTGCTTTAGCATATCTGTCAAAAATCAGTAGCCCTCCGGGGGCGGGGGGGTGGCCCATGCCTTTAATCCCAGCACTCGGGAGGCAGAGGCAGGTGGATCTCAGTGAGTTCAAGGCCAGCCTGGGCTACAGAGTGAGTTCCAGGAAAGGCTCCAAAGCTACGCAGGGAAACCCTGTCTCAAAAAGCAAACAACAACAACAACAACAAAAATCAGCCGTCTTTGCTGGGTGGTGGATGGTGCATGCCTTTAATTCCAGCACTCAGAGGCAGAGGCTGGCGGATTTCTGAGGCCAGCCTGTGGGAAGTTTCAATATAAGGTAATTGTTATCATATATGCTCTTTCCTTGTCATTTATCTCTTGAGTGTGTGTTAGCATTTTATGGCCTTGGCCTAAGTTATTACCCTAGCTTGAGTAATGTTATTCATGGTATCCCCATATCATCCTACAAACACCTGTAAGCTTTGTAGTTATGCACCACTCTATTTTAAATTAATGATTTGCATTGATTGTCTCCTTTTTTTGCTCCAATAATCCCACAAGGAGTTTTTCAATGAATTTGGCTTTTCACAGAACTAGTATCAGGATTGGTTGGTTTTCTCTATTTGTTTAGGGGAGGGAGGGGTTCGCTTTTTATTTTGAATTTTTTTTTTCATACAGCATATTTTGATCCTATTCTTCCCCCTCCCTTGACTCCTCCCAGATCCTCCCCACCTTGGTGTGCTGTTATTTTATTTCTTTCTGCTTTGCTTCTCATGGTCTGTTCTCTCCTTCCACCATGTGGGTCTCGGGGATTAATCTTAGGTCTCACGGAAAATGTCCTCACTGCTCAGCCGTCTCAACAGCCTGCTGGTTCTCACCATTTTCTTTCCTTGGTTTGGCTATGTTCTGTTTAGTTTTACAGGTTTACTAGTCACTGGAGACTTGTTTATTCTGTGTGTGTGTGTGTGTGTGTGTGTGTGTGTGTGTGTGTGTGTGCACTGAAGCATGCCTGGTGCCCCCAGAGTTCAGAAGAGGGTGTCAGATATCCCTGAAATTGGAGTCATAGACAGTAGTAAGCTGCCATGTCAGCGCTGGGAATCGAACCTGGCTCTTCTGTAAGAACGGCAAGTGCTCTCCGCTTTCTTTCCAGCACCTGTTTTATTTATTTTTAGACGGGATCTCACTATGTAGCCCAGGCTAAACATGAACTCATCATTCCCCTGCCTTGGTCTTGGGAGTACGGGTTACATCTGAGCGTCGCCACTCACAGCCCAAGTACAGTTCATACAGGGAACACACACTTGAGTCTCACTGTTCTCCTCCCCTGTGACGGTGTCTGCTGCTGGACCGCGGTGTCTGCGTCACTCGGGTTGGATGTGACTGTTGGTGTGACTTGGCCTCTTCTTCACCTCTGTCCTTTACCGTCCCTTTGTGGCTTTGATCTTATGTCGCTGTCCTTCTTAGTCATTGCTTAGGTATTTATGGGACACAGCACAGCCTGAGTGCTGCCCCCGCCCCTCCACGTTGTGTCACCCCACGTTCAGTGACAGAACTGGTGACACGTCACCTTCAGTTTCCCTGATCTTACGCTGACATGATATCTTAATTCGACATTTGTTAGAGACCCACAATGCGTTATTTCACATTAAATTTTAAGGATGAGCAAAGACCTTTTCTACTTCGCTGCATATTTAAGCCTCTCCAGTGGTCATTATTCTGTTAGTTCATACATTGATCTATCAGTCTCCTGCCTCTGAACTCCTCTAATGCTATCTGAGGTCTGGTCTTCTGGTGGTGAATTCATGGGGGGTGGGGGGACATGTATGAAAAGCACCAAATATCACCTAGAGGTTTCAAAGATATTTTCTCGAGTAGCACCTTCTAGATGGCTGGAATCTCCTCCTCCCTTTCTGGTGCTCTGGCTTGCATTGTTCTAACAAGGACACTGCTGTCTTCCTTTCCTTTAATGTGGCTTTTGTTGTTGTTGTTGTTTCTTGCCTTTGGTTTTAGGTGGTGTTTTCTTGGTGTCATTTGGTGTGTTCTTTGTGTGTCTTTGCTTGAGGCTCATCCAGCGTCCTGGATGTGTGGATCCTCAGTCTTCATCAAACCTGGAAAATGTTGAGATGTCGTAAGTTGTCCCATGGCTTGAAACCCCAGCTCCATCTTTTCCACTCTGCATCTGTGTTTAGTTTTCCAGATCTTTTCCATGTGCTGGTTTCTCCTTCCAGGGTATCTAGTCTGCTGTTCAAGTCACTCACTGGAGTCTTAATCTGAAACATGCTTTTCATCCTTTTTCCTCTCTTCCTTATCTCTCCTCAGCATCCTTATGTCTCACTCTGCTATGTTGAACATACCTGTTTTAATGTCCTTGTCTGCTGATCCTGTGATTCCAGCACTGGTATGCATCTGTTTGTTTGTGGCAGGATTTCACACTGTAGCCTTGGCTATCACAGAACTTGCTGTGTAGACCAGGATAGCCCCAAACTTTCTGAGATTCCCCCCCACCTCAGTACTTCATACTTGGTCCTCTGTATTGATTCTGGTCTGTTAATTTTCTCTCTTTGTGGATTGTTTTCTTGCTATGTTGCATGCCTGATAGGTTTTGAGTGACTGCCAGACACCACAAACTAGACCTTGCTGAGTATGACGCTGTTCCTGCACACACGAGTATTCTTCAGCTCTGTCTGGAATATGAACTGTTAAAACAGCTGGTCCCTTTGAGCCTTGCTTTTTAGAGCTTTGACAGGAAGAGCAAGAGCATCCTTGTTTGGGTAGATTTTCCCTGTGATTGACGTGACTTCTCAAAGACTTCATTGTGGAGGTGGGAAAGGAAGGCTTCCTGGTACTGCATTATCCCCAACGCTTGTTTCCTCTGCTCCTCCCCGCTAAACTAAATGACATCTACATCTGTACTGTGCTAAGTACAGATGTAGATGTCATTGAAGGGGACGCTGTAGACCTTCAGAATTCTGCCCTTCAAACACTGGCCACTGTGGTCTCCGCAAACTGTCACCTTCATGTCAGCAGCTCACCAAAGGTCACAGGCTTTCCTGGTCCCCACTGGAAACTGGGTTGTGTCCTAGCAACTAGCTTTCACAACCTGAGGCTCACCCTGTAGGTGTCCCATCTCTTGGGGACCATTCTCCTGCACTGATGTTGTCTACTGCCTGATGACAATGACCTTGTATGTCTTGTGGCAGTTTCTGATTTGTATAAGGCAAGAGGGAAGTCTGGTCCTGGTTGCTCCATCATGGATGTACAGATGGCAGAATCATGACAAGTGTCACATATGAAACAATGACTAAATAAACATTAGAGACTGCTGCCTTCTAGGATGACCAGGAGGGCTGTCTTTTTCTTTACTTTTTGACCAGGAGGGCTGTCTTTTTCTTTACTTTTTCTTTTTTTTCTTTTTCTTTTTTTTTTCTTTTCTTTTTTTTCTTTTTCTTTTTTTTTCTTTTTCTTTTCTTTTCTCTT